TAGAACCTAGAATTATAATAATATTTATCAGTACGTCGTAAGTCTTCTCTCATTTATTAATTCAACTAATCAAACGAATACGATTCTAGTTAAATATGTCTTATATCTATTGAATCATATTTCAGAGTACTGCTGGATGTTATTTATACGTATAAAAGAAATGAAGTATAATGAAGCCTCTTTCCCTCTCTCTTTAAAATAAAAAAATTTTAATAGCAGCTGAAAAACAAAGTAGCAGCAAAACAAAAAACCATTCTATCCAACTTGACCCACATCGCACTTACGTCATTTAACCGTCATTAAAGTCAAGTGATTGCCTCTAAATATAAGGAACGTTCATACGCGCAAAAATCATGCGTGCAAATAGAAAAATCGGTTCCGATTGAGGAAGCAAGATAATGCACTGTTCCGATTTCTCACGATGCACGCCATTGCACGCAACATACTTACACACGATCATAGCTAGTTCTCACGGAGGGAAAGGATGAAAGCATTCGATACGTGCACACCTTTCAAATGCTAATGCGATTTAACACTAGCGATAACAGCAATAAGTTTCACGCAAAACTATCTGAGCCGAGAGTGTGTTAAAAAATTTCCACCGATCGCGGCTAATCGGTGACTACGAGTATTTCTATCGCTGCTTTCTAATCGTTTGTCGTCGCACGCGTTTGTGTCAGATCTACTTATCTGAGAAATCGTGTCGAAAGTAATTATCCTTTTTTTTTCGTCGAAACAAGTGTGTTATAGAGAATTGTTATAATATAATCGTAACGTTGAAAACTAGTAAAATTGGAAAATTTGACGAAATACAAAGACTGAAGAATTTATTTATTTATTTCTTCGGAGCAATCATTGAAAGATAGTTGCTAAAAATAAAGTTAAATTTTTAATTACTTAAAGTAGATAGATATGTATAATTCTTTGAAGTGACTATGTTAGTGGTTGTAGGAGAAACAATTTTTTAAATAACCACCAACAGTGTATCAACTCACCACAATTTGTGGTTAACTTCGTATAGGAAAGCGTTTCTTTCATAACCACTAATAGTGTATCAATATATTCTAGTGATTATCTGATGAAAACGCTTTTTTTTACAACAAAAATTGTCACTTGGAATCATTACATATTTTAAGAAAGTTTAAATCTAGCTTTAGTAATTGCTCTTAACTTCAGATGTTTTAATATCCACTAGTTTAATTTATAGAATTATTTCTAAAAATTACTTTCATTTTAACTAAAGACACTGTTCAGTTTTCATTATATCTTCGCTTTATAAATAAAAAATACTAGTCCATCTTCGAACACCAATAACTAAACAATATTCACTATCAAAAATATTTCACAACGATGTCTAACTTTTGAATGAAAACGAAAGACTGTTCGCAAAAATATATCTACATTATAAATATAAAATAAATAATAAACAATGCAAGCTAGAAATATCAATTGCACGTATTCTTATTATAAAAAGAGTTTCCCAAAAGAGGCTTCAGAATTTTACTGACAATTAAACATAAAAGATGACGCTTAAATGTTCACCACGCCTACGCTGACAGATGTATTTTATTATTAAAAAATAAGATCTGAAAATCCCTTATGGAAAACCGTTGACAAGAATAGTGGAATAAAACTAAAAATTCGACGTAGAGAAGATAGAAACTGGAATTGTACTCACGAGGAACTTCATGGCGAAGGTGTAGGTGATTTCAGGATGGTAGCTGGACGAAACTGGCGGCCGCGTCGCGACGCACTTCTATATGGGCGAGCGTTTCCAGGGTAAATGGTCGGGCCAACCACTAACTTTCACGGTTGGGCGGTTTCGACTGATTTTTTCTTTTAACACACAGGTCCCCTGCACGTTCGTCACGTAACATACGCCCCCTGTATTCAAGGAATGCTTCGTTTAAGTCGCTGCTACCCAGGAAGTGAACCGAGTAGCTGCATTAAAAAATCAGGGGCCGCGACACTGTCGGCTCGACGTTATGACTGGCTTAAAGCACCAATTATGCTTTGATAAGTGACGGACAGATTGTTTAAAAATTGTTTCAAGAGTAAAATTCTTGGTTTTTATTTTTAGATTAATAAGTGTCCCGTTTAAACTACCAAAAATTATGCACATAATGAAATTAATTGAATGAAGTGACGCTACAAATGTGCATAGTGTGAATAATTAAATATCAAGCTGTACTTGCTCACTGGCATTTTTCATTTAGATAATGATGCGCACCATAGAAAGATATAGTTTAGAAAAATATAATTTTATGCATGGAACTATAATACGAAACATACAATGGATTAATGTACATTTAGATCATTTATAATTAAACATCTTAAACGTACAATATATTACTTCGTATATAATGAAACAGCAAATTGATTAAAATTAATTTATTATTTTATTCTTTCAACGATATTCTTCTCTTTTGCATTGAATTCATTCTAACCAGCACAATTTTCATGTCGATCCAATAAATTTAAAATTTCATTAAATTTACAAGTCCACGCCCAACGGACTTTCCCAACGAAGTCCTTGTTACGCCGCGTAAAAACCAGAACCGCTTTTCCTGAATATGTATTATATCAGAATTTAATTTATAGTTACGTGAAAATCACATGATCGACTTTTACCTTTGAACGTAACTAATATCGGTATAGCTTGGCATTTGCTTTGACGACGATGATTGACAGAAGCCTCGGAAGCGGAACAGCTATCGGTGGACATTATTTCCTGTAAAGGATAATGCCTATCATAGACCCTTCAGGGTCAGAACACTGGTAGTCTCTTTAACGATCGATCGATAAACAATTCAGCGATTATTGCATCACCGTAACCGGTTTAATAAGTCAACTACTTATACATAATCGAATTCGATAACCTGCATCTACTGGTATTAGATAACGTTAACGTTCGATAACAATTTTTAGAGGGAAGAAAATATACAGCTATCACAAGATATGTAAGCAAGTTTCAAGTTAGTTAAAAAATTAATTCGTAACGACTCAATCTCGAGCTCTGATAATTAAATGCAATTATCATTGATTTAGAGTAAAGCATTAAAAAAAAAATTCAAATGAACGTGATAAGGAAAGGTAACAAGTTTAATTATAATTTAAGATTCTCTATTGCCGAATAAAATAATCACCATGTATTGATATGAATTATTAATCATTTTCTCGTTAAATAAATTCCAACAAAACTAAACCAAGTAGTTAATAGTCATCGATAATTGATGTAATTAGAAATATATTATTTTAATAATAAAATAATGAAAGACTATTGTGACGAGTAAATGCAGTAAAAATTATCTTTTTAAAATAAATACGCCTATACAAGATTGAAGAACAAAAATCATACTCTCAATTTATACTTGCAAACTCTTTTATTGATATTTTTTAAATAATTCTTCATTTCCCACAGAATTTCTAACGAACCAATCACCCAGCGCAGGTAAGAATGGGTAATCCTCTCGCGTTTTCACATCTTCGTTAAATCTCAGTAACGAAACCTTGTCGGCTACTGGTGTACATCGCAGTAATAAAAACTGAAGATATTAAAAAGTTTGGATTAAAATGAGAAAGAAAAGTTGCATGGAAACTCGATAGGCGTGGCCTAGTTTAATGGATCGAAAACTGATATCGACGTAAATATAAATCACGAATGCTTGTGTGCGGATAAAACACGTATTTCTAGTCACGTAACGGTACGACCAATCGTTGCAGGAAGCATGTGCACCGGTCACTTCCGTATTCCCAAGTCGATCGCATTAATATCTCGCTCAGAGTGCGTTTCAACCGAGCGACATTTTATATTCCATAAAAAGCATCGATTCAACCAGAGCGTGCGCGCTTGGTTCGCGAGAATAGAACAGATACTGTTGACCTTAATGCAGCTCCACATTCTCCGTTCCATTTCTCGAGTGCTTAGAAATTTAACGTACCGTGAAATAGTCGATTTCGTTCATCAATTACTGCGACCAGTCGACGCACGACGGTCAAGATACTAATCAGTTCGCACTTTCAACGAAACTCGATGGTAAGATAACCAAGGCAACTTTCTGAATTATTAATCCAACAATTAACTCGTTGTTGCACAGGGGAGAAGATTAGAGCGAAAGTGGATCGTATCTGGCACGGATCGAATGAAGCTTTGTGCGATTTCTGTAACGAACTGTGAAATTATGTGTTGTACGATATTGATTACGTTAAGTGTGTTTATTGTAATTATTCTTAAATTGTATCACGGATTACGTATAATCGACGTTACTTTTATTAGTACATAGTTAAGTTTTCATCAAGTTTTCATATAATTTAATTTAAGCGGTATACTTGACCCACTTCTGTTGTGAGTTTTTTATTTAAGTATTGATGGAGATTAAATCAGTCCTTTCTAAACTTGTTGGAAAAAGATTTCGGTAAAAAGAACCTTGATGACCTCAATTCACACTCAGGATTCGTAAACCAAATATTTGTATTATGTATATTTTAGTTAACTCAAAATTAAATACTTGCAATATGAGAATAAATAAATATTTATTATAAATTCCAAATAAAGTGATGCATTAAAAAAAAAAACGGAGAAAATTCAAGAAATAACTATAATACGTGTAGAATTTTAACTTTAAAATTTAGAAATGGACTTTATGTTTAAACAGCCGGGTTCTACCATTTTGCAGAGCAGGAAATGGTCATAGAACGTCGGGGTATGTTAGAATTTTTTATTAACCAGATTATATTATACCTGATCTAGTGTAATAATTAATAAATTACACCTCCAACTAATTGTGATCATTCAGAAAGAAAAATTTCCATCGAATAAATATTTAAATGCTTATAATAACTATTTTTGTAGGTGATCGAGGATTAAATGAAAAACAGAAGGACGTGTGAATGATATGACTCGATGGAGCAATTAGAAAACATTCCCAGCGAAAGCGACGATTTCTCCAACATCCTGTATAAATTAAAACGAACAATTATGAAAAATATTATTCCAACGAAATACCATACTCTTCCTTCGAGCCAGAAATCCAAGCCATCCAAACCAAAAGGGGTTCCGAGTCTCATTAATCCTACTACTACCCTACAAAAATCAACAAACTCCAGCATTTAATTTCTATTCGTTTATTTAATAAAGTATTAAATTTACGTGTAACGAAGTAACAACAAAATGATCTTCTATTCGACGAATTGAATGCGACGCCGCATCCATGTTTGATAAATAATTAACCCTCCGCAGCTGTGATACTTATTCAACACAATCCTTTTCACCTAGCAAAATTGTGCAGTGATTTTTTTCTCCGATTATACTTTTGTTTTTTCATTTTCTTTAACACACGATCTGAAAATATCGATACACGCAGCCCCGTGTATATCGATCGGTAACGAGATGAACGTCCGATGGAGAGAAAAAATTCATGCATCAATCATCGTTCAGTATTGGTTTTCGGTGACAGGACGAATACCGCTCCCGTACTGTTGCAACGGCGACTGTCCCGGAGCAGATTGCTGATACTGAGATAGCTGAGGCTGGTCGCCGTACACCTGATTGTATGCACTCGATTGACCTTGATACGGGTCCCGTTGGCCTTGGTACTGCACTTGAGGCTCGGCTGCAGGTTGAACGGGCTGAGGTACGTACGGCTTCTCAGGACGAATGGAGATCTGATTGGGCAAGATATTGTAAGGGATCTGAGATTGGAACTTCAGCACCTCTTGGATGTAGCCTGGAGCATTGGGGTTGTACTGAGGCTGCGGCTCTGGTGGTGGTCGTTGAGGCTGTGGTTGTTGTTGCGGTTGACGATACTGTTGAGGTTGACGATATTGCTGTTGTTGTTGATACTGTTGCGCTTGTCTTTTTTGCCTAGAATGCGCTGCCTCCGCTGCTAATTGTCGGTAATGGGCCTGGACCTGCTGCAATTGTTCCTGCGCAGCTGCCTCAGCGTTGAATCTGGACATTAGGAGTGTTCAACAAGTTGAGAGTATTTGAATGAGAAATATTTGGAATAAATATCGATAATGTGGTTGGGGAATGATGCAAGTCCTTGTTGGTCTAGCAAGATTAGAATATTAAAGATTTAGCAATAAATTTAGCAGTTTTATAGTTGCATTGTTTTCATGTTTCTTGTTCACCTTATTAAGACTGGAAGTGCTGCATGGATTATTATTTAAACCTCATACGTATCGTTTGATCCGCTATTAGATATCATATCAGTCATAGATCGTCAAATTTACCTGAAAGGTTCAGGGATTCCATTGGTGTATGGAGTATTAAACTGGAATTTCAGTACTTGTTGGATACTGGCTGGTGGCGGATTACTGTTGTACCTAATCGGACGTTCAACTGGTGGTTGTTGCTTCGTCTGTCGCCTTTGTCTATATTTGCCGCGATAATTAGGACGTCGTGGCTCAGGTTGATCTTGATCGTCGCTTTGATATAGAGCTTGCTGCTGTTGCTGTTGCTGCTGCTTTCCTGCTGCTGCTATTAAGTTGTCATATCTACAAATTCGAGTAGTGAACGTGTTACGTACGGATCGTCAGGCTCCTTGATGTATTATCATGATTAATTTTTAATTCGGTCAAAAATATATTAGCGGATTTTGATCATATTTCCTGTAAGGTAATAGGCAGTCACTCCTTTATTGTTATAGAGTAATTAAAGTCCTTAAGAATCCTCATAAAAAAAAATATACTATTTACGCTTCCTCGAATACTAAATAACTCTTTTAAATTTATTTGAATTACCTAAGACAAACAACTTTTCTTCACTTAGAAATCATCATATGGAAATATTTAAAACGAAACTGAGTAAAGAAGGCAGTACCCTACTAGAAGCATTATTTATAAACAGTATAAGGAAAAGACTCGGTTGAATTACCTGTAGGGTTCAGGAACGATGTTCGTGTACGGAAGTTGCTGTTGATATTGGAGGATTTCCTTGATGTGCGAGGGAGCGTTGTCGAACGGCCTTGTTGGTATCAAAGGCTGTTGTGGTGCTTGTGGTTGCCGACGTGGTTGGTGTTGTGGCTGCGGTTGCGGCCTCGCTTGTGCGCGTGGCCTATAGGGTGCTGGCTGAGGAGCAGAATATTGTTGTTGCGGTTGTTGCTCTGGGGGTACCTTGCGATCGAAGGACTTCCAGCTGACACTCGAACCTTCCAAGTAATACCACAGTTTAAAATTAATTTTCATTCAGTTGCGATCTCGGATTACAATGCTGATAATAATTTTACTAAAGATGAACAGCGTAATTTATTCGCTGATTTTAATATCAGAAATAGTTTATAGGAATATTTGTTCCCCAACTGTTGGGAGCTTGAAACATTTAGAAACAGTACTGCAAGTAGAATGAGTCGGTAATGGACAGACACGTTGAACGAATCGCTCATGGGTCAGACAAACCTTCAAAATCTAGCTACATTCTTTTTGATTTGAAGTTTGTCGTGGTCTAATTGACGTTTGATATTTACTCACGACGCTTCGGAATGAATGAGGATCGGAGTTAATAAGTTCAATTACTATTAGAATTCGCAAAATCACTTACCGCTGGGATCCCTGTACGAAAGAGACTTCTGTTCACCTGGTACAGTGTCGTGAACGCCTGAAATGTACCCTGACGTACCGAAACTATCCGAGGGTCCCTGAATATTAAACGTCTCAGGTTCAGCTGACTGTAAATATCTTTGTCCGCCGGCATTCGAGGCACCCTGAATCTGATAATTCGAATGACCGTCGGTGGCACCTTGAATAGAGGAGCCACCCTGCCCTGGAAAATTAAACATTTAATATAGCGAAGTATATATTATTTTAGATTAGATTTTTCTGGCATAGTTAGACTATCAGCTAATTTTAGCGTATATCCAGTTTGTGACAACAAGTATTATTTAAACAAATATTTACATATTGCGCCAGGAAAATGATAAGAACGTACTATATTTTTACAACCTTTTTCCCCAGTTTTATAGAATCATTTGTTTATCTATGTTTTACCACTTTGTCCTCCTATGTACTCCAGTCCTCTCTCGTCGTCTACTCTTAAACCCTGGGAAACTCGATCCCCATCAGTGGATCCCTGTATTGTGAATTGTGCTATGCACATGGGAAGTGCTGTTAGCAATAAAACCTGTAACAAACAGTAATAAATACTTGATTTCCCGTTTCAAATATTTTCGAATATTAGTCTCGATTTATAAAACTTGAACATATTAATACTAAGAATAAATAAATCGATTAATTGAAGTATCGAACATGTCCATCAAATAATCTATGAAAAAAATATTATAAATAATTAAATATCAATAGAATTTTAACTTAGGAATGAAATAAAATAACGTTACAAACCGAACAAGAACTGTAAAATAAGATAAGTAGAAAATAAATAAAAGAATAATTGTTAATGTTAAGAACAACTTAACAGTAACAGCAAACGAAAGCTAGTCGTAAATAAAATAATTCAATTAGGACAGTTATCGTTGGATATAACTACTACTGAACACTAGACAAGTTCACGGAGATATTAATGTCACTACTTCCTGTAATTACTACCATTAATATTATTTATAACACAAGCATTTGTGGTAGCGATGCTTGTTACATAAAGTATTACACTTTTAATTCTCCCGTTTATTTACTATTTAAGGAGGTGCTGCAATGCTACGGATATGCAACGTTCAGGAGCATACCATTATCTAATACAGTGGAACTTGATGCGGGACCAGCTACGATTACGTACTACTTTGTACCATATGCATTTATATGGAATCGCATCTCTTAGTCTGGGCAATATAGCTACAAGGGAAAGTCTTAAGTCCAAATCTTATTCAGTTGGAGAAGTGAACAGTAACATGTTTCACAAGCTAACGGTAACCGATAGTTACTGGAAATCTAAAAGCAGAATTTTACCCTGCAGGCATGGTCTGAACTTTTAGTCGTTGTCTCAACAGAACGTCTTACCTGAACCTAATACCTTCTACACGGTCCTTTTAAATTAATCATTGTACATCTTGTAATATATAATTTTGCTATTTTCACATTATGTCAATCAGTCAAATAAAATTTACTAGTATACTTTGAAGACGCAACTAGACATTGACATAAATGAAGTTGAAGAGTATCTCATAATTTAAAAAAACAAAATTTCTAAATTCTTATGCAAAACGGGTGCTAATGAAATTGCTACAAGGAGAGGGTTATCATTTGTTGCGCAACACATTTTTTTAGTTAACTGTTATAAAGAAAAGGGGGACTTACATTTTTTTTAAACAGAAGATAGTATTCATTTTTTACTATTTGGATAACTCTCACAAACCGAAATGATATTGAACCGTTGTTTTTTTTTCTGTGCGTAGTTATTAACCGGAAATAGTTTTCAATCGTCTCGAGACAAAGTTTTGGATTCGTGGAAATGTCCAGTAATGTTAGTCGGGCTGTTAACGCGCGAAACGAGACTGTGGCTCGTGAAATTCCAGTTCGAGGGGAAAGTTTCGCGTCTTCGAACAGCGAACGCAGTTTCCGTAATCGGGAAAAGGTGACGCGAGCGAACCTTTCCTCTGAACACATTCCAGCATCGCCGCAAGAAAAAGAAACGAAACCTATCTGGAAACCAGGACTAAGCCACTACGGTGCAACGATCGAGTACACAGTCGCAGGAATTACACGCTCGCCGGTAGAAAGTGAAATATAAATTAACCGACAAGACACGCCTGGCTCGATTATACAAAAGAGAAAAACACGAGCATGTTACGAGTAGAACTTGTCTAGAAGTGTCCCCCTAACGAGCAACGTTAAAAAACCGAACGATACGTGGAATATTAACGCTTACAAAGTCCTCTTCCCACGCGATTTTCGCTGATATTCAGAAAAATTAATTTGTTATTTATTTTGTTCTTTTATGAATTAATGTTCAGTTTTATAATGGAGGATTACCAAAACTTATTTAATCGTGACATATTTGTCACATAACATATTTCTTATAGAAGATTATAATGTATCGTACTTAACTTTTTCAGATAGTGCCATTACGTAAAACAAGAAACTATCATGTATTTTGTATTACTCGGTTATTTTATATGTTTATGACTAACTAGTTCCTATACTGAGTTATTTAGAAACAAATCGGACAAGTATGATTTAGAAGACCGGTAAATAAGCACTAGTCAACTCTCTCCTGCTACTTTTAAAATTATAACGTGTCTTGTTTCCGGTTGCGTGAGAAAATATGATCGCTTAAGAGCAAGTGCGACTTGTTGCAAATTTTACAGTTGATAGCTCCCAATGTAGATGAACTTTTCATTTCAAAAACTGTCTTCCACATCTTGTTTTCATGTGATTATATAAATTATAAAAGTATAAACTTCGTTAAAGATGCGAACATTTTTTCCTCGAAAGAATGACACATGTTTCATGATTATTGAAAACATAAAGATGACTTGGAAGAAAAGAAAATGTTAATAAAATTTGTATATAAAATTAATGTCAGCTTTTACGTGCATCTTCAACTTCGTGAAGTTAGTGCAAGGATGAGTACTAAATAAATGTTCTTCTAAATTGTACTAGGTAACAATGTAGCTCCTGAGCTATGCTCAGGGAGACAGAGTAGGGGAAGTTGTTTTATTTTTCAAACAACTATACCGGCTAGGATCGATTCAAATCGTTATCTTGTTTCACCTCCCTATCGGTTTCTTATCATAATCGGTTGCAGAGATCAATGTGGTCGAATGTGAATGAAGTTGTGGTCACGTTAGATCTGTTACACTTGTAGAATGAGAAAGCGTGACATTTTCGAATGGACTGTACCAATTAATTACGGACAAATAACGTGTTTAGTTCAGACAGTATCTGGCTGATTAAATTGTTCACGACTTAACTTTGGAAACAATTGAAAATGTTATACGAAGGCAGAGTAATACATTTTTCAACCGACTTCGAAAAGGAGGAGGTTACTCAATTCGACATGTATATTTTTTGTTTTCGTTTCAACACTGTGACAACTTTCTGGTTGTTCATAACAGAAAGTTCATTTCGTTTTTAAAAACACTGATGTTTAGCTACATTCCAAATAATTTAGAGTATCGATTTCCTGTTCTCAGATACACCTACAATTTCCTGTTCTATACCAAACCTCATGATCTCTATGAGTTTGATACGCGATATCTCTTGCTATTAGTCTTGGAAGTATCACGATACTGTTAAGCGCATTTTTCTTCAAAAACTACTCACTGTATAATATTTCCCTGCTGGTTCAGTTTGCACCTGCTCCAATGAACTCTAAATCTGCACCATTTACAGACTGTTATCATTCCCTAAACGCGAAGAGTTATTGTTTAGCGAGCTTAGCACAGACGCCTAAGTAATCCGACACTGACGTCTAACCGCAATTAACTGCACGCGACGCGTCTCGTACTAAGACATGTTACCATTTGTAACGCAGGAATACCTATCGAGCTATCCTCCAGTTCCGGTTTTCCCACCGATACGCCCGGCTGAAAGTTCCGTGTTAAACGCGGTGCGGTGTCGATGACCGAACAGAGACAGACCTATTCACGAGCAAACGCGAGAAACGGCTATGGTTTTTCGCGAAAAAGAAAAAAAGTGGATTTACTTACGGGCAAATTCATGGCGAGACAGCAGGCTGGCTCGTTGCGTTCAAGGGTTGAGTGTTTCTGAGGCGGCCGCGCCGTCACCGGAACAACTTTATAGTCGGCCACGTAGAAGGCGCCTTTCGGCGACGGGGATGTGACTTCTTGTACCACCTCCACGACACACCGATTTTGCGGTTACACGGCTAACCGTGCCGCGAAACTGTCCTTTCAGCTCGTGAATTTTTGCCTATGGTTGCCGTGTCATTATCAACGGCGATGGTTCGCCCTGCGTTTGGAACTTATGGTGCAGTCGCTAAGGAAGCCCTAAGAGGGTGGATGCTTGAAAAATCGTTGAGATATAGCTGTTTGGAAAATGACTCGTAAGACATCAAATATGAAATAATGAAGAAAAGGTATCGAAGTGTAAAAAAAAATTTTCTTATAATTCTACATCTACTTATTTTGCTCTCCATTCTGTGTTCACTTTATTCAAGTGTAACTCGTAGATCGTCCTAAAATAAATATGTATATAACCGTTCTTAAAGCTTATTCAATTTTGCATGGATTCATCCATAAGCAACTTTTTCGTAGAATCAACCGTTGCAAAGTTATAGCCCATCGAAGCGTTGGGCATAAATAATATGAGGTCTGTTTTAAATTATCGATGTCACTTTGAAGAATGTTACTGAAATTTTTCTTGATTGCCTATGAACAACGAATACTATTTGCAATATTATGAATAAATATAAAATATTACTTGCAGGATTAATAATGTAACCCAACAACAATAAATTGCACGTATACATTTTTCTTGATATTTACAGTTACGTAACAATTTTCTTCGATGAGTATAGCAATTTCTTGTTTCAGCAAATTGCATTCGATTACTGTTCTCCGGCTCTTGCAACGACTATACATGTCAGAAGTTAATAAGAGTACTTGGAAGCGCAAACAAGCATAAAATTGTGTGTACTATAGTTCCTCTTTGCGCGTTAGAAGTATAATCGATTGCATCCTCGGAAAATGCTGAAGGCATCGTTAAGGAATGCAATTCAAAGACACATTTCCCAAGAGAGTACTACTTAAAGGTTACCGTGCAATGACCGCGTGCATTAATTAATGCACGTATGTTTGTTGAACTTAGGTAATACCTACAGGTAGATAATAGAAATGCAAACCTTCTGCAGAATAAATTTGAAGGGAATATTTTAGAATTTAGAATTCATACAAAATTGGTGAAAAATAAATGACAATGATTCTATGCCTTAATGCTACTACATTATCATTATCATTTTATTTGGGAAATATTATTTCAATGTAAAAATTATTTTGATGTAATTTGCTAGTTTTTATTTTTTAAGACCGAAATTAGTGGCACTTTGAATTAAAAAAGATCCAGGTACGTATCTTGTTCACTCTCACCTCTAAAAAAAATGTATAATGTACAAAAAAGATATGCAAAAACTTATTTAATTAGTTACTTTTCATTCTAGCCTGTTTGAATGAATCTAAATAATTTATAGTGCTGATTTCCTGCTATTATTCTGATACCTGATATCTCTTAGAGGTAGCAGAGTTATGATACTTGTAAGCGAGACTTTTTCATGATGTACTTACTGTAGAATGTTGCCATGCAGGTTTAGTTTGTACCTATTACAAAGGATCCTAAATGTGTCCCACTTTGCAATTATCATCGGTGAACGTAACGGAAGTATACATATTCAACTTGGTATATCGATATTTTAATATTTCCTTTATTCGTCCATTTATCTCCTCGTCCGAAACTACTCCTAATAATACGCCCTAAGTGAATTGTGCATACGTGCGAACAAGCAAGGTAAAAACGAAAGTTGCAGCATGCCGGAGCCCAAGCGCGTGGATAATCGAGATTGCCAAGAGTAATGCGAATCGGTGCACAACGCGTGAAGGCCACGAGACCAATTTACGCGGTCTTCCTTGTCCGGAGAAATGCTGGAGCTTTCGTCATTGAACACATTACTAGACAGTGTTCACGAAATCTTCCGGTAAATAAACGGAAGTGAAAGACTGTGATGCAAGGAGGCTTCCTTAACACCTCACTTGTTATCCATTCGTGATTTTGCTTGTAATTGATATCATGATTTGAATCAGTGTAAGGATATCATTAACTATGTTTTTGTGAAAATGTTTAAATGTTTTTAATAAATCGTAGAGGGAATTAGAGTCTACATGTTCACATCTCTTGTTATACCCATTTATGAAAATATTTTCTTCGATCAACACGGTATGAATTTATAACAGAGCTTGTACCAGAGTGGATTTAAAAACCTGACAAATCGTTAGATACGTATCTTCCACGCTTAATTGATCTAAGAAATAATTTCATTTCTCAAGTCAATCGATTTATAACTCACACCCTTGGTAACTTCCACTCTCTAATATACTACAAAATCCACTTACGCTACAAACGCATTACTGCCATGATTAAAGTTTAAAAATTCATCAGAAATATATCACTTCAGCTGCATGCAACTGCACCAAACTACAACACTGAATATAAATAGAAGTGCAATTACACCATTCACCGGTTGCAATCGTGCAAGCACTTCCTTTTCGTATGCTCAACGTTCGTGAACAAAATCAACTAACAATCTCCATCGAGTTCCTGGCAAGATAACATCGGTTTCTTTATCGAATATCAAATTATACCAGGGAGAAAATAAATAAGTGCGTTTACCTTCCGTCTGCCGAAGAACCGATCGACGCGTTATTGCTTTCTATTACAAAACATCACGCGTATTTAATAGAAAGGTGGAAACCATCCTACTTTCTACGAAGGTTTAATAAGACCAGATTTATTAGTGGTCAAACAGATCGCAATACGCTCGAAATGTTCTTCCTAGAGCGGCGATCATACCTTCTCCACGCATGCAGCGCTCGATAGATCGATAGATCGATAACCATTTCGTAACTGCACTCGAGTCACTTTTACGCCGGAAGTTCCGTTCGTTTTGTTTCCGCTAACGGCGAACATGCTAGGAACACTCTCATAAAGATGGAAAATGATTTTTAAAACGTTCGTATAATTCGTTTACTGAGACGAAGGTTTTCTTTGTAGCGTCATTTGTTCCTTAACTTGGCAAATAAATTTATTCATCAACAGCATTGAATTTTACATAAAAACAGTATAGATATTGTTATTTTCTATTGGGAAAATACAAGGCACGTTCGTTGGGATTAATACTGGCTGAATTTTACTTGTATCGAAAATAAAAAGTTATATTTAAACCTTTTGAATAAATTTTTAAAGATCAGGCATTTAAGATGATGAACCTATTTTAGTATTTCTCATTTCAATTAGAAATGAGGAAGCAGTGGCCATGAAAATTCATTTAATAACTTTTGTACGAAGTCTATAACATTTTTGTCTTATATTTAGATTTCTATCAATCAGATCTATAGAAAAATATCGGAGTAAAAAAATAAAACATAAACTTGCTATTTAAAATATTAATTTAAAAATGCCCAGATATGATTAATACGGTAGAAATACGAAATTAATGCGTCTTAAATCTTATCACGAGTTCGTAAACTTTTCATTTCAAATGAATATCTTGAGATTTCTTCCCTTCTGAAAAAACAAATTGTACATTTAATGTACAATAATATTCTAATTACAACGATTAGTGTAGTTACCAGCTGGAACTGTAACGATATTAATTACGAGGTGCTTAATATATTTATGATAAAGCGTACGACAACAAATACTTATTTCTGTTTAAAGCTGTAGGAAAGATAAACGCAGAAGCTTAATCTAATATCAGTGACGCGAAGGTGAACAAAAGTTGCATTAAATATGCGTTCACGACATTCTAAACCTTGTTTCCTGGACACGTCAAGATGAGTAGACCAATTTCCCAATTTTTCTAGTTCATGCGAAAAGTGGAAGTTCAAACAAGGTTCAAAATTCGTTTTCTAGCAGTCTCCTGCAATGATAATAAGTTTACAAATTCTGTTCTAATGCTCAAAAATTAGCAAACTAATGGTTAAATTGGCTAATTTCCATTTTCCAACAGAAAAGTCGGGGACTTCTGTTAATTAAAAAGCAATCTGTTAAAATCCTTCAGTCGATCCTTCGGATGACAATCAAAAAATGTCTAATTTTCATATTTTTTTTAATGTATAGAGTGGTAACAAAAATGTTGGATTTTGAGGTCGATTCCTCGTGTGAAATGAAATCGAAAAGTCCTTTACCATTTTACAATCCGAAGCTTCGTTACTCTAATACGATCAATAAATGTTTAATAATGGAATTCCAAGTATACGCCATTTTATATCGCAGTCAGCTGATTCACGGGCTCATGCGCATTCAACAGTCCCTATACCGATAACGAAACTTCGGATTTAAAAATGGAAAAGGACTTTTCTGTTCGCAGATTTATGAATAATTGACCTTGACGAATAATTCCACATTTTTGTTAAAATTAAACAATAACATATGCAGCAAAGTCAGAGACCGATTCACTTCTCTCTTTCCCGAGTCCCTTCAGTCAGCCGAGTCAACCTACCCTACCCTCAACGCGTCAGTTCATCAGACAGTATCCTCCTCGCTCATTTCTCTGTTCAATGACCGTGATACTCCTGGACAGGCTTGGTATTCTCGAATTCCGGTTCGTATCGGCCATTGTTCAGATAATAAACTTTGCTGGTGTAACGAGACGACCTTGCATTTTCTGGTAGTGGCTGTGGCACGAACACTGCTTTAGGATTGTGAGTGATGCTATTTGCGATTACGTTATAAGGCAACTGAGCCTGGAATTTGAGCAACTCCTGGATCTCCTTGGGCATATCTTTACTGAGGTACAATTGGGGATTTGGTGGATCAGGTATCCTCTCGTATGGCACAGACACGTACTCCTGCTGAGCTGGCTGTGGCTGCTGCGATTGTTCATAGTCATCTTTGTACACGATTCTACCTTGAAGCCCTTTGTTGGAGTATTCCCGTCTAGCCTTCGACTGTTCGTGCTGCTCGTTATAATTGTTTGTCAGATGCTCGTAGTTGGAGTCGTCTGTCCTCGATGGACGTTGCTCCTGTTGCTGAGGGTCGGCGTAGTTCGAGCCGTAGAGGACTGGTGTTTGGTCAGGATATTGACGTTCGGGTTTGCCGTAGTTGTCCAGGATCTCTTGCTTCGGTTGGGCATCTTGGTATGACTTGTACTGGATCTGATTAGACTCTGGTTGAGCTTCCAACGAAGACTGACCCTGCTGATACGGTCTGTACTGTACCTGAGTAGGACCCTGCTGCGCTTGCAGCTGAGCATGAGCTTGCTGATAAGCTCTGAACTGGACTTGGTTAAGGTCCTGTTGCTGCTCTTCCGGGGATAGTTGTTGGTACACTCTGTACTGTACACGTATCTGATTTTGATGAGGTTGTGCTTCCGCTAGAGCTTCTGGCTTGAATTGTAATCTGCCGTAAACTGGCTCTGATTGCAGCAGCTGTGACTGAGGGGCAGCCTGTACCGGTTGATGGGGATTCACGAGATCAGACTGGCCGCGCTGACGACGCTGAGAATTTTCCAAGTGAGTGCGCCATTGGTTCTGGGGAGCAAAGAGTTTCCAGTCGACCTTCAGGCCTGGAAATGAGAAAAGATGTTTTGATGTACGTGTCGGTGACCGGTTCTCGGTCGGTTGGTCGTGTAATCGGTAAGGAAGCGATGTTGTAATACGCTGTGACGGGAAAGTGATCTTGTTTGTTGCGTTTGGTAGCGAGTTTAGATCGAAAGGGGAACGATTCCTTTTTAGTGGTGATTGGAACAATGGTAAGTATACAATTTCGTGAGATACGATCCTGTGGTAGAATATTTTGTAGCACAATGATCCTTGAGATATAGAAAGATTTATATATAAAAATTTAACTACACATGTTTATATTATAATAAAGAAATTTGAAACTTTTTTACACAATTCAGTGGTGTTCATTTCCAGAAGTTCATTTAGATTAATGGAATTCTTCTACAGAAAAGAATGAAAAACATTTTATTTAACAGCATTATTGTATCGTTAGTATCGTGCATCGTATGCGATTAAATTTGCTCACCATTCGGATCGCTGTATTTGATTTCAGCAGCGGATGTTCGAGCAGGACGCTGCGCGTTTCGTTCTTGCGCCAACGTTGTCGAAACGAGAGCGAAAAGTAGGATCTGCGAACAGATTCGATCGTGAATAAATTATTCAGCATGAGAACGATGCTGTAACGGTAATGGGATCCGTTAGAAAGTAAACTCTTTCCGAACGGTCGTCTTTCTCCGCAAGAGCCGTTAGAAACTGATGCCAAACGACGTTTCGCACGGACGGAAGAGAATTTGTACGATTGTCCGGTTCAATAAAAAACATTTGACTGTTGCACACTATGTTTCCGTTTCCGCCTTCATCCCGTTACTTAGCATATACTGGCTGCGTTACAAATAACCGTCAGCTCCGGTTAGGAATACAGTCTAACGTTTCACTTCCTTCTATAGAACCGACGTTTAGAAGCTTGACCATGTTTGAATACTATGTACTCCATCGAGTCGTTTTCTTCTATGTAACGTCCAACGTTGAGTAATTGAGCCTAATTATATTGCAAATGGAAGTCTTGAAAGATAAAATATTATATTTACTCGCTTTTCTTGTATTCGCTTTATCGGCCGGGAGTACGTAAAATTGATTTTCGTTAAATTTCAGTAAATATTAGAAAAAAGTTCTGTTTCTCAGAAATAAACTTTTGTGCAAAAAAAGTCTAGAACAAAAACTTCGCATCGTTCGAAGTTGTACTTTTGTGGTAATACGTTTAAAATTGGAAAATCTTCTGTGATATATTTAAACTATTATTCGATGTTTCGCTTGTCAACATTGCTATAAATTAATATAAGAGCAGCGAAGTACCTCTACTACGTTACTTTATGTACATACACGACACGATCGAACTCGCTACCAGTCGGAACGACCTAGCATTGAAATAAAGTGAAAACTATTGAAAGTAAGTCAACGACGTTATGTTTAACTTAAACAAGCTTTGCGTATACTATTATAAATAATTGTCCCGTCGAAGGTAACATAACTAAAAACAGCTCGGTCACCAACGATGAGACCAATCTCTCGTCATGGAACGATACTCTACAATCCCTTAAACTGTCTCAGAGAAAATCGTACCAAGTTTCTTCTGCCAGCATCACTATAAACTAGAACAACATCTAACCCCAGCTAAAAAAGAAATCTACAATAATTAACAAACGCGAAACAAACTCCTAATCGCCACGCTCTAGAAGCCAAACGAAGCGTCAAGCCTCGAAAGCCGATCAACCCTGATTAGCAAGAGCGACGTTCATTGTTCCAGAGCTCGTGGCATCCACTTATAAAATTAATTTTAATTAGAAACGTCCAGTCGCGCGTCACGAAAGCACTCCTTCGATACGGCACTCACTAAAAGACGTAGAAAAGAAACTCGCGCGACAATCTACCCCCCTATAGTCTATCTCCAAAAGAACTCGAAGTAGCGATCAGGCCGCGTGGAGGACCGCGTTATGTATCGTTGGTAGAATTCGAAGATCGAATGCACTCACTCGGAGCCTCATGGTTGGCGGTTAGGAGACGATGAACGTAGGATGCTCGATTCACGGGTCTACCGGTGGAAATCAGCCGACGGTGCCGCGGTGGCTCTTCTATATAGTCGGAGTTGCCCCGGTGTAATTGGTCGGCCAAGCAGACGGCCGGTGGCTACCTACTTTTAAAGTAATTCTGCCTTCGGTAACGAGCGAACCACCGGGGGCCCCCGGGATATTATCGCGGCCGATTGCAAGAATGCGTCGCTGGCGCAATACGGCTACTAAGTTGATCTAGGAAGCTGCGGACACCGAAGTCTACGAGGGCACGAGTTTACAACCGTTCTTGAGCGCTGACGGGAAGCTTACGACTGATGTTAACGAGGCTTTTACACGATTAGATGCTTCGGAATAGTCTTTAGACGCGAAACTTTCAAAACTGTGGGGTTTCGAATCGCTCGGAATATTATTAGAGATCGGATGTTCGAGAATGTTCTGAAGAGTTTTCGATGCTTGGAAAGTCTTCGCGAGTATGAACCTTGAAAGATTTTAGTAGTCTTGATCATTTTCATAAATTCTTTAATTCTTGATGAGTCTTGAAATCTTTTAGCCTTTATGTGTCTTTAACGTTATAATACCTTTGATGGTTATTCGAAAGTTTTAATAAATCTTTGTTATTCAAATCTAGGTGATCTAGATGAGTTTCGAATGAATTAAGAATCATGATGAGTCTGAAATGCTTTGAGACTGTTCTTGAATGTTCTGATATCCTTGGTAATTCATGACTGTCTTGACACTAGATCATTTTTATTGAAAGTTTAGACAGATGTTGGGAACCTTGACAAGTCCTAAATGTTTTAAAAGTTTAAGGGGTCATTGATACCAGCGAAGTAGAAGCTACTTTGGGTCTGAATTGATAATGAATGTAAATACTAGTATATCGTACATAGTGGTAAGTCAAACAAAAGAATGCAGTTGCATGTCGCACTTACATTAGCACCAAATTAAAGCGACATGTTACCTAATCGATCCTTTATAAGTCAAAGAAATCCAGAAGGTAATAAAACCAGTTTCGACCATCAAACGGTTCGCCTGTACTCCATTTAAACATAACACACGTGTAAATATTTTTAGCTTTCCCTGTCCTTTAGATAGGAAAATGATCAAATAAGTGACTCTTCTATTCGTTAAATGAAATTAAAATGCCAAGGAATTAGAGTAATCATAGTGGAATAATTTCCATCACTGTATTTTATTACAAATATAATCCTGCTTTCTGTTTTCAATTGAAATAAAGAGTTTCTGTTTTCAGGCGAGAAATAATTTTCGAAAATGTGATCACGTTGTGAAAGAATAATTCGCGGAACTGATTGCCAAACCTGGGACTTATTAAGTAGATCGTTGTGAAAAGATCGCGGACTACGCGAACGAAGTTGCAGAATATTAGAGAAGGGAGCAGTAATAAGCTCTAAACGAACTATGAAAATCTCATAAACCAGAGGTCTAAGGGGCCACCGCTGTTTTTTTTTCATTCGGTCTAAAAAATCACAGTAATTTTCGAAATTACAGGACCCTTGTTACCCTTATTGCGACACATACTTCTACGGAGCAGAAAAAAAATGAAAAAGCAGGAAGTTTTTACGCTAACATCGTAAACCGTACAAAAGTAGCAGATAATTTGTTACTTTCCGCGTCAATTTCTATTTGAGTAACTAATTAATTTACGTAAGAATTTGTTCCTAAAACTTTTATTTCATCGAGAGAGTAGCGAAATATCGTTACGTGTAGTATTATGCTAATTGACTCGGACGATAATCCAGAAATCAGTAAATCAGTCAAAATAATGTTCTACACGATATAGAAGTATAATGATATAATTATTACTCATTCGGAATAAAATTTAATATTTTTTTTCTCGTTTTACCAAACAATTATTTGTATATTATATATTTATATCTTAAATGAAAGAAATTAATGACGAAGTAACAAGTATGAGCCACTGTACGCTCGGGACTTGATATACGTTGATTATTGAAGTTAGGTTTCGTAACAACATTTTTAGCTACACATCACCCACAGCAAGAAAATAATGAATCAAAGCAATTAGTATATACTTCATCCTTTCACTTTTCTACCTTTTCCCTATCCCCTCTTTCGTGAAATATAACACTTTTATTTTTTTTTATTTCCTTATGTTCTTTACTAAGTTCACTAATTGCCTTTAGGCAATTATTCATTATTGATTACGATTGATACATTTAAAAAATGAGTACTGCGTCCTTATTTCGGCCACCATCACTAAAGACTGCGGATTTTATGGATTAATGTTAATATAAAAAATGTGCGCCCGAGGAGTATATACTTCACAGAACGTGGGCACAAGCGATACCGTTCTCTCATCAATGTTCGCTCTAAGAAAATTCAATTCTACGCCCGTCGGAAAAGAAAATGTGAAATATAGCATCATGCGTCCCGGTTCCTTTCGAAGCATTTCGCTGATCACGTTACGCAACAAAAAGAACTCGATAAATAGTTGTACCTTAACAGAATTAATTGGCGATTCGAGCCGCGTGACGGCGCGTACACATAACGGCCAAAAAACACACGAACTTCGACGAGGTAAGTACCCCGATGATATTCGAAAGGCACGATGAGAAAAAAGGATTCGTTGTGCGGAAACAGGCGGAGAAAGTCCATCGCGAGGAAGACTGTTTCCACAGAATCGCGTAAAAATAAAACGTTCCTCGAGTGGTATCGGAAATATTCAGCTGCTAGCGTTTTTCCTCGTGTTTGCCACCGGTGGCGAGCCCAGAAGTTTATCAAGAGTGCAATGAACAATTGACAGAGCTGCAATGTGAATTTTCAGACGTATTACTTTAATACTAGAGGGTTTTTCAAAGGGAGCTTTGAGATTTTGATTATTAATCAAATAGAAACGGTATGGAACACAACTGATTTTTTTAATTCTAAGTGAAAGTGCTGATGATCATAATGAAACGTGACGGAGGAAAATTTGAGTTCCTTTTGGAAAATCATTTTTTTTTTTTTAAATCTGTTCGGAGTATATTGATCAAATTATTTGTGGTGCACCATGAGTAGTGTGATTTAAACATGTCGTCTTCATTTATAGATATATTTTGACGTTCTTCAGACATTCAATTCTCAAACATTAAATGGATACTAGAACGTAGCAAAATTCTTTAAATGATTAAGTAACAAATACCTAACAGCAGCGAACGTAAAGTAACAAATTTACAGCGAATCGATGTAAGACATAGGTTTTACGAAAGAATATACCTAAAACTCGAGCACAGAAAGTATTATACTAATGGACTAATTACGATTAACGGCGTGACGTCAAAATCGGCGATGTGGAAATTTCTTCTTGCCAATTGTAACGCGGAACCACGAGGGGCGTTTTACAACAGTCGTGTTCTTACTATTCGATTTAATTGCACTTGTGATATGAAAAATACTGAAAGCACAGATGTTAGTGATGTGTCCTGGATCAATTCGTTTGGAAACTCTACTTTAAGATGAAAGGAGATATATGTATACGAAGGGGATGCTGAAGTTACCGTGTATCCCCACCCATATTTTCGACGAATAATTGCTCGCAGCTCTCGCAATCCCTAGGTTTGTACGGCTCGAACAATATATTTGAATTTCCGTGCAATGGTTAAAATCATAAACGAGCAATTTATGGGCTTACGAGCTGACAATTTCATCTGCTAGGAAACACTTATCGCTTTCGCAATAACGCGTGAGAAAATAAAGCGATACGTTGGAGAAGTAATTGATCAATAAATGCATAACGTATGGAGTAACAATAGTAAGAAACGAATTCGATGAATGTTATGTTTTCTTGTGCACGCTTGAAAAGATATATTTTTCACGAGTATAAATTACAGGATTTTTTTTGGTAAATCTATTCTAGCAAATCTTATCGTACTATACTTTAGGTTTTTATTAAAACTTGCTTCTCCTTATAGTTGGTAGATACATCGAAATGACCAAATAAATTAAAATTAAGATATCTGTGTTTACTTGGTCTGTTATGATCAATAGATCACTTAGTGTTATGTATAAATTAATTTCGACAAAGAAAACTTGCTGTCCACATAAATGTAGCTACAAGAAATATACTACAATTTGTAGCTTACAGAATTGAGTGATAAACCTAAGTACTATCTAAAACAATTAAACTCTTCACTTTATGTAAACATAAACAGTTTACACGATTTAAAAACCCACTCTTGGCTCTGATGTGAAGCGACGGAATCGTGAACCTACATACGAGTCATTCGCATCGAAGGATAAATCCGAAGTGGATAAGTAAGGAACCTAGTGCACTCGGTTCTGCTCTACCTGCAGTCGTAAATAAAGATCTGTTGCAGACAAGGTATAGAATAGATCAAAGTCTCTGATCCAGAGGTGGACACAGCGCGGCAAGACTTAAACTTCATCTATTACACCATACTTTTCAAAAAATTAAACACTTAAAAAGTACAGTGTAAGTATTTAAAATTTGTAATGATTTTTCTGTTGTAAACAATATTATGCTATAAAATGAAAGCTCCTATGGACAGCTGTGATGTGTAAAATAGAACTGATTAAATATACATTGCTGAATGCAACATTTTAGAATTATTGTATTTAGGTGATTTTACTTATAATGGGCTCACTCTTATAAGTCAGTTTCTTTGTAGGACTTGTGGATCAAAACGAATTCAAAGTTTTTATATTTTTGGTAAAGAAGAAAGAAATTCATGCGCGGCATATTCATTGATTGGAATAATTAAGATTTCTTTATAAATACTGATACTCTAATTCCTAACTTATATTGATTTAGCTTTGGAGCAAGCTGAAAGAGAAACCCTAAGTATACTTACTTATGGATGAGAAAAAAATGGACCAGCACACTTTTGTCATCTTTGATCATATCTTCATAAATATATTTCTGAACAGCTTCAAATCCATAAAAAATGATGTCCATCATGTTATGTTCTTCTTTTATTCATTATTCGAGAATTTTATCTGGATGGGAGTCCAGCTCATCTCTATTTGGTACTGAATTGTTTGAATATCATTCGTCCTTATTGTATCAGTTCGATCGCTGCTGTATGATGTGATACAATAGCGAAGAAACTGGTCGGAGAAATGGCGATACACGTTGCTAGTAGGAAAGCTGAGTGGCAGTCGAAAGGCGTGGTAGAAGATCAGAGTGCAATCTGCATTATTCTGCAGCCACGGCGCGCGGGCGACCATCAAGGCCTCTTCAGGTCAACGTGATCCAATCTGCCGTATAAAACGCCCCTCTCGTCGATCCTTCGAGCACTGTTGTACTTCTCGTCGGGCCGTTGTCGTCATTTCTCTATTATGAGTGCCATAATCGTAAGTACTCTCTTTCAATTTTACTCGAAACACATCACAATGCGTTGCTATATCCGATGATGGATTACTTTCTCGTTTTATCTGTACTACGAACTGTAGAACACTTCTGTATTCATATATGTGCATAAATTGCACTATCTACTTAACAATCATTATTTATTATACATTTCACTGTGTTTCTATTTTGTAATTTATCGACGTAATTATTAATTTGAATATTCATAGGCAAGAATTTGCAGTCTCAAATCAACAATAATTTATCATCGTCGAAGCTTACGAATTTTACAACTGAATTTACTTGTTTAATATATACGAAAGTGTAATCATCCTTTTTAAGGAAAGGACTGTGACTGGAAGTAGTGATCTTCAGCTTAAATATCATTTTTCGCGTTTAATTATTTGAAAATTCCATACCATTTCAATTTTATTACAAAACGAAATTCTAAAGTCCCTATATGGAAAGAACATTGTTATCAAACGTCGTAGAAATAATACGAATGATTCACAGGAGTTTTCGAAAGCTTGTATTCCAACATTTTCAGGCGTTTCTGATATGCACGATAGCACTGGTTTCGTGTCGATCGACAAATGGCCAATACCAATCGCCCCAGCAAGCAGCAATTTTGAGCGATGCTAGATATCTTGCTGGCGATGGAACTTTCGGCGCCGCTTATTCGCAAGAAGATGGCGTCGAGTTCAAAGAGGAAAGCGACGTCTACGGAAATCGTCGTGGGTCTTACTCCTACGTAGACCCCACGGGCCAAAGGCGTACAGTGTCGTATACAGCTGGCAAAGATGGTTTCCAGGTATGTCAGAACGTGACAAAATAAAAATGTTTTTTTTTTTCAAATATAACCTTCTCGGTACTATAACACCAGTCTAATTAAAAAAAAAGTTCTTTTATTCCAAAATACATCATTAAAATGATCAGTATTACATTAATCCTCATTTCATATTTTTCCTCTTATTGTGATTGCGCTTTACGTAATACCACATACACGTACTATTTTTTATTTAAATACTATGCAGTTACAAATCAACATTTACATTTCTGAAAAGATGTTTTAAATCTAAAAGTAGAAACCTTCAAAATACAGTAATACTTGATCTGAGGCTACAAAGTTTTCTTCTTCATTTGTTATATTGGCAATTCTTATAATTAATTGAATCTTACAATCAAAATCAACCATAGTTTGACTCTTCGTCCCCATTTAATTTAACCCTGTAGGCTTCTGGGGACGGTATTCCCGTTCCACCCCCACAAGTTGCACCTCAGCCAGAGTACGTGCCACTGCCAGAGTACAATCCACCGGACTATCAGCCGCCCAGATACAATCCGCCCCCTCAACAACAGTATCAACGACCACCTCAACCAGTGTACGAGCCACAACCGCAGCCACAACCACGACTACCACCACAACCACGACCACCGTCACAGCCTTACTCCATTTATCAACCCGAGCCCCAGAATCAGCCACAGTATCAGTACAGGCCTCAGCCACCACCCGAGCCTCAACCATATCCTTCGTACAACAGCAACCCTCGACCTCAGTATCAACCCCTCTCCAGGCCACAGCCGCAATACAACGCAATCACAACGCCACCCCCGCGCAGATTTTATCCACCCGGAAAACTGAGCTTCAACAGGACACCCGATGGCTACTCCTACACGTTCAGCAAGAGTTAAGTCTCTTTTAGCGAGGCGTAAATCGATGATTGGGGAAATAAAGTATGGGTGGAAGACAGTTGTTGTGAGAAGGATTCAGGATGACGTGGTTGGGTTGTAGAATGTATCGACTCGAGACACCTCCGTCCATCCAGATTGAGGAAATATTGCTCAACTCCGAGCGATGACTAGTGATGAGATTGGACGTATTGCAAGTATTTATTCATTTTTTATTTATTCTGCATTTTACGAGGGTGCAAACGTGTAATATAAAAATGAATATAAAATTGTGTTCAAGGCTCATTCTAGATTTGGAGACTAATCTTTTTTAAGAATAACAAAAATATTCTCTTTAAGGATGACATAGAAATAATCACTACAATTTTTAATATAAATTGACACACTCTCTAAATAATATAACAAAATCACAGCACGTGGTAACTAATCATAGACGTGGGTCAAAATCAGTTTGAATTTTAGTTTATTTCGAACCAAATTGGTCTGTAAATAAATTCAGACTTGCCAAAATTATATGTAATTAGGAGAATTGAAGATCTTGAAACGCCCCTAAGTTTAATACTGAAGTGTCTAGACAGTATGAAGCAGAAAAAGTAATTCCAAGTTGATTCTTATTATAGTTAGTTATTACACTACAATATGCTTCTTAATCTTATTTCCATTCTTCTTACCATAACTTCGTCTTACATGACTCCTACATTGTTTTAATACTGTTTGGAGTATCTCTTAACTTTCATATCTGTAGGGACCTCCTAGGCCCTTTATACATAGCTCGGGTATCTCTAAACCCGTACTGTAGCTGCATATTCGCATACTATAGCCCCTGAGGGCTTTCTTTAGCCTAACTGTACAAGTTTTGTAAGTGTGGAGTAATAATAACATACAATGATAATTGTTAATTTAGCTATTTAGTTTCAGCTCATCTAAAGTCTATTCAATTTAAAAATATCATAACTCGTTAAGAAATAACGGTAAAATGTGTCCGGTAGTCGGTAAATGGTAAAACGGTAATCGAACATTGAATTAAATACGCGACCATGCATTCATAATTAAGAGATTGTGGGTAACCGGAGCCTTGTCCATGATCTTAGTACAAGGCTTAATCATGAAACATGTTAAGCTTCCTGTAAAAGACTGCGAGAGTTTTGCATAAATTCCTAAGGAAATGTAGCGAGTTAATTAATTCATTTCACTTGCTAATTGAAAACAATTCCTTTATTCATTTATACTTTCGCTAATTACGTTTATCAAATCACGCAAATGCTCGCGTTATAATACATTAAAGCCAGTGGAAAGTTATTCTATTTACTTATTTACATCTCTATATAAAATTACATTTTTGATTTTTAATTTTTCCTCATGTAAGAATTTTATTAAATTAGCAACATTGTTCAGATAATGTTGGATCAAAACATGGCCTTAATGAGAGAATTTTTAATTTTATGTTATTTACAGATCTGTGAGGATTTGCAAGAAAATTCTCAAATTTTGAATTATTATCTGTAGACAGATTATATTTATCTTCATTGTACTATTCATTGAAAAAATTTGTTGCGTTATATTTTATAAACATACTAGAAAGCAGTCATTACATTCAACAATTTGTTATAAATTTACAAAATCGAACGATATTATTTAAAGCAAAACCGTAATAAATATGAACATTGTCCAATGGTATAGAATCTAATAATTAAAAAACAATTTCCCCTATCATGATTTTACTTTAAATAACACCATCCAACTTTGTAAATATTTTATAAATTTTGTGATATTATTTTATTAATGTTTAGTTTAAATTAAAAGACAAAAATAATAAAAAAAAAAAGTAACAATACTAAATTATCAAAGTCTGATCGATTTCAAATACATGGTTTTAAGATAAACAACTTGGAAATACTAATTTTGTTAAAAAGATCAGAATTAAGTGAAATTGAATGTATTTTATCCAATATGTAATTCTTGTAATTTTGTGAATTCAACAAAAGGAACGTGGCGATGAACAAAATCTACAGACACAGCACTTAACGTGTCATAGTATGATTGCAAATGGTGGAAGGAAATTGTATGGCATTTTCTAAACGTCGATCGATCAGATTTTCTTGGTCGCATTGCTTGGTCGACGCCCTGCGCTTTGCATAGCAATTTCCTTTCCAAATGCGAGCACTATCCCGCGCACTTCGGGGTCATGTTACTTTCAACGAGAAACCTTTGGCGTTCTCCGCAGTATTGCAACAAACCCATGAGAATCCCACGACTCACGAGGGAAGATACACGATTTTTTAACCTAGAATGCGGTAGTATCCTATGATTAAACACCGTTCGCGTAAATGGCGTAATTTTTAAACGCGCACAGCCATTTAAGCAATTGTATTCATCTAAGTTACTGCCCTATAATGTAGAGTTCATAGTTCAATGTAAATGAACCGCACAAGAAATGATTAAAATAGTATTCTTGCGCACGTTTGAAATCATTTTTATACCATTTATGAATTTGCTGTAAAATAATATTAAGATGTATACATCTCTTAATACAGTTACCAATTATATGTAAATTTCTTGAATTCAATGTAAACTCATTATCAGTGAATTTTACTTGTCAAATGGAGACTAAGTGTAAGAAGAGACCTTTCCATTCGATTAATTGTTCAAGAAGATTAAAAATTCAATATAAGAACTTTAACAGCAAAAACTAAGAACACTACAAATGACGGTTCCTCCTAAAAATGAAGCAGGCAGATTTATCCATTTATCAAGATTTTGTCACCCAAAGCAAGTAAGATACCCACGTCTCTGATTCTCAGAAAGAGGGTACCAGTTTGCGAAAAGTACTATCCTACTGTAAAACTTAATAAACCCTAATTATTCGTGACGTTTATTATTTCAGAAAATTAGTTATTTGGTATTAGGAAGTAATCTGAAAATCCTCCTAGACTAGAATGTATAAAACCCGAAGAGGTTGAAGAGTGTGGTTGGTAACGCCATTCGGGTCCCATTGTGTCATCGGAGACGAGTTGCTCGTTTCCTTCGGACGCCTTCGCGCCGAAACGGAAGGGAAACGTCGGACAAAGGGACGATTATCTCATTAGCCAGGCTTGCGACATAATACCGGTGCGGCCGAACGAAGGGAAAAATACAGTTCGACCTGGCATCCGTTTACCGGTAGCCGTAGCACGGGCGTGGCAAGGCAATCCGGCCGTATCGGAGCAGGAACTCGATAACCTTAGAGGTGGGCCGAAAGAAATGCATACCGTAACGTTTCGTGTCAGCGTTGGTGTCGTTTAAGAAAGTCGATCGCGGATTTAATTTATGGCCAAACGGGTGCAGCCCGCCACCGGATGCAACACGGTTGCACCGGCTGCATATTTCTCGAGCCGTTGTCCCTGATCCGCGTTATGCACGATCCCTGTCTCACATCTTCACAGACAATCTTCCTTGTCTCCTGGGAATAAGTATGACGACCATGGACAGTGAACAATAATTTCTTGGTCGAAATGCAATTTTTCAACTTTAACCCTCGCCGTACTAGGAGGAATATTATAAATGATTACTTTAACCCTTTCTACCCTATAGAACATAATGTCTCAGCGAACATTTCTGATTGTCATTCGTAAATTACAATTGATACTTACAGGATGTTAATAAAGATGAAAATCATTTACGCCGGGACGAATTGTCCTTTCTTGTCTGGCTATGACCTTTGATTTGTAGGCAATTCTGAATTGACCCTAAGTTTACGAAGATTTCTTACCAGATTTCTATTACTGAAGTAATGCTTTAATAAGTGAAGAATGGGTAAAAATGACCGTGCTTCGTGAACCTAATGTTAATAGAATTCATTTCTAAAGCTATAGGTTACAGTTCAAGATAAAAAGCTGTCAAACACGTTTCCAATTTTTTTTATTTCTTTGTGAGCGATTAATCGTATAGAGGTTCAAAGATGTAGAGAACATTTTACTTTTTCAGTCGTGTTTTATTTATAAAGGTATATGGGTATACATTTCGTTTCATGGTTATGGCAGTAATATACCGACTCTGAGTAGCTGCACGTGACATCAACAGTATAAAAGTAGTCTAAAACAGCTGCTATTAGAGGCAGTGGGCGTCTACCATTCACTCCTCACAACAAAAACGACATAAAAAGAAAAAAAAAGGAAAAATACGAGACAAACAAATCTCATCCTGCCTATAATCTAACTTATCGTAGTGAAACAATTTCTATGCCAATGTGCCTCCCCGACACGTTCAATTTCATACGATCAAAGCGAAGTCAGATAAATCCCGGAGAAAAGGCACTATACGTCTATTAAATACATGTAGTATTCGACCCTCGATCGTACAAAGTACTACGACATAAATCATTACGTTTCCCCATTTCACGATGTCGCGTTTCGTACAAAATTCCTTTCAAAAAGAGAAAGAAAATTCAGATCGTAGACCATACCAAATCCTCGAAGGCCAATCGCAGTTGTTAGTTTCTGATGCTCGGTCTTCGCGAAAAAGTGATTTAGCTTGGCATGCGAGTAATTTTAATTGCACCTCCGTGTTTGATAGTATTTAATTACATCTCGGCAATTAAATACCGTTGATTCTTTATCGGTCACGACAACCGAACATTAGAAAGTGAATATCTTCTGTATGTATGGAGAATGCGTAATCTGACATAACCGGAAAGAATGGAATTCCTCGCGAAGAAACAAGAGGAAAGTGTGAAATGTAATTAGTTTATGTGAAATTTCATTCTTAAGAAAATGGGGTTTCATAAATTGTGAAAGTACGTAATTACACTTTGGCCAACATATAGGGCGTTCATTTTCAAATAGGCATTCTTTGAGAAGACGATTCTGTCCAAAATAAGACGAAAAATCTAGAATGACAAAAATCTATTTGACTATAATTTCTTAAAATACGCAGAAAACTAAAATTTCATCTAATTTCTTCTTTGATGAAGAAGATGAATAGTTATTGAACTGCTTTGTAAAATCATTTATTTGTATTTAGAATTCATTAAAAAATAGTTGTTAAAATTCTTACAAATAACGAATACATATATTAAAATTATATATGTATAATATATAATTTAATATATATATTGTGTATGTGTGTGGCAGAAAACTCAAAAGGTAGCCATCGTTAAGGCTTAAAAGATTTTTGTTTGGACTGTAAATAATGAATAAAATATAACTTGCTGCCCATTTACTCTACTAAATTAGCAATGTTATCAATACTAATGAATACGATAGCATCACCATCAATATACATGTACGAGTGACGCAAAACTAATACAGATTCGTAGAACAATAAAAATCGGAAATTATTGGACTGGTAAATAATCCTAGGTAAAAACACTAGTTGTATATTTTCCAAGTATACCATCAGCAATTTTTCCAAACAGAAGCGATCGGAGCAACAAATTAGATGCAACCTATCAACTTTTCCACTCGATTTTCTAAAAAATAAAACTCCACGAAGAAACAATTGTATTCCACGATTTTAAATTATTCTTTCTCAAGGAATTGGTTTGTTATCGATAGCACTGCATGTCAAATTACCCGTGACGAAGAAAACAAGTGATCACTGTTTAGAGTAGACCTCGAGGCGTAAGTCTTCGTTCAGCATTTCGTTATTCTAAGTACAACTACTTACGTAAAAACGATTTTTCGTAACTGTATAGGAAAGGCCGGCATTTTTTATCTTTTCCTTTTCTATTTTTTTTTTTCTTTCTTTTTCTTAACATCCGATTACTTAGGTCGCTACGAACGATACTACTCTTACGCATCCTAGCCGCGCAAGCGCCCAAACATTTTCTCTCTCAAGATTACCCGCGCAGACTTCTCTCTTTTTATTTCCTTTCTTTTTGCTTCATATCTTTTTCCCCCCTCTCGTAACAATCGCAACTATTGTCGATTAATTCTATATTGCACTAGTTATAATTATACAAAATATATACCTAACGGTAGGCTTAGCTTTTGAAGTATACCCTTTTAGGCACAGTTGTCCCGGAAATAGTTTGGATCAAACAGAAGCCGGAAGTGGGTGGTACGTGAGGCAGGAGGCACGGCAGTTTTTGCGACACGATCTCGCGCTGACTATCTATAATTCTAGTCTAAAGAAGAAAAGTTGTAAGAGCCGTAAAAGCGAATTCTACGAAGATACTGGAAGAGACAGTTTGTTCACAATGCAGTGTCGCTCGCGGAACATTCGACGAAGTAAGGACTCGATAATCAGTATAACGTAATCGTTACGTTAGAAGAATAAAATAAACGTACGATTATTATTGTCTCCTAAAGTTTGATTAACGTTCAATCGAAATATACGTGATTCGTTACTGTTGTAATTCGATTCGTATCGGTATCTCCTATCGACTGTACGACAATAGGAGAAAAAAATTCTGAAAAACGATAAAGAATGTTGTGCACTTACGTCTGTAAGTACACAGATTATATCTTGATAGTTTATTTTTTACTACTTACGACAAGATGAACTTCTGTCGTATATGCAGTACAAATCGAGTCTTACCGTTCCCTGGTTTTAAGTGCGTAGCGATACTTTACGTACCAGGGATGCTCGTAACAGTAAACGAGATTTCCAGCGTACTGTAAGGAAAACGTCAATTTTAAAAAGGAACTACTCGCTCTAAAATAGATTAACATAAACATCTGGGATGCTTGGGTCGGTAATATTGTCAACACTTACGCTACACCACAGCAAAAACTACACGTTTGGTACCATAAATTGAGAATGCGGCTGATAATACGTTGCCTCTGAAGAATCATCGAGCTTAACTTAGAAAAAGAAGAGAAGAAATAAAGGAAAAGAATCACATGATCGAAATAGACCCTTAACTTTAAGATGCTTTATATGCAGCTGTATAATCATCCAATAAATGGTTTTAACGATAGAAAATATTCGTATACTTCTATTTTAAACGAACTTCTTATCCAAATAGGGTTTTTATCAGCTAGTTTTGCGTAACGCGTTCCGATGTTTCACGGTGCTTATCAATTTTAGAAACTATTGCTTCGAAACGGTGAATTCTCTAGACCATGGAACGTACGTATACAAAAATATAAGTGTAAAAAAATACAATAGCATTGAGAACAAACTTGTACATCGAATAGCGGATACTGCTAATGGTTAAAGATGGCGGAAAGCTAGCTATGTAGGAACGTATACTATTAAGTAGTCACATTTAAATACCGACGCAATAGTGGAATCTCTTACCTTAAGTCAGTATCGCGTCCATATTTAAATATTTTACGAGTAACGTATGCCTTAATTCATATACATACATACGGGATACACAGTAGTACCTCTACGATTGTTCGAGATTCCCATTTTGCTGATATGTTGCGTAACGCGAAAAATATTGTTCTCTGTCCGTTTCTAAAGGCGGTGCGAGCACATTGTGTCTATCGATTCCTCAACAGCCGATCCAAGTATCGAATCGGCGCCGAAAATGATACATCGACGATGTCTGAAAGCTGCAACGAATATTCCTCTGTACGGCGAAATAAACGACTGCTCCTGCATCGATATTTTTCTACACGAATGTACTACTGTGCATCGCTTATCAATAAATCAGTACATATTCATTACAATCACAATATGCATGACAATCCTATGCAAAAGTCCTGGTCAAAATGGAGTGGAGAACTTGTACTATGGTAAGACACGAATCGATGGTACATATTGACAGGAAGGATAATTCTAGCTGCATAATCCTGACGGATCGACCAGCCCGCGTGCAATGAGTTCAGCCGTTGCAGGATCCCCGGCTTGTTTACCACTCGAATGTTGGGGCGGAGTTTGCTGCACGTGAGGTTCGAAATGGGAGCGCACATGGAACATAAATTCAGCCTTGTCCGTGAAATCTGTACGGCACATCAGACAGAAATGCCTCTCGGAGGCGTACGGTTGCGGTGGCGCCGTTGATCCTGGGAAATAAGGAGCTGCGTGCTGCGGTGGAGCGGACGCTTCCAAATGTGATCTGCAACAAACAGATCTGTACAGTTCAAAGTAATCGTTACCATTACAACTAATCATCGCACGCGAATAAAAATTACCGAGCATGTTGCATCCACTCCTCTCTCGTAGCCAATGCTCGACCGCACAATTCGCACGCCCAACTAACCGGCTCCTCTTTCAATTTGTGTATAGTATCTTGTCGAGATTGTTGCTGTTGTTGTTGCTGAGCTTGCTGCTGCTGCTGCTGCTGCTGCTGTTGCTGCTGCTGCTGAGCTTGCTGTTGCTGCTGTTGTGCTTGTTGCTGCTGTTGATCTGAATTCGGAGCAGTGGGTGTAGACAGCGGAGCTACTCCTGGTCTATGTCTAAGTTTGTTCATGTGAATAACTAGCTTATCTCTGCGCGCAAACGCTTTTCCTACAAACAACAGCCGTCGTAAAATTAATTAAACCTAAACAAGCAAATTTCGGCCGCGATACGGACAATTAACGAAACTCTCGGAGCGCTTACCGCAGACCTCGCAGGAATATGGTTTCTCCCCGGTATGGATACGCATGTGAATAACGAGTTTGTCCTTACGGGCAAGGCCTTTACCGCAGACGGTGCAAGCGAACGCCTTTGTCGCGGGTTCACCCGTATTGGTAGCTTTAGACGCAAATCCTGGTCGAGAGGGTACATTGTTCGTCGTTCTCAACGGTTGATTTACCGTCGGTGCTCTGCTACCAAATTGCTGATCCATCGCACCGGGAAATGGGGGCATTACACCACCGGGACGCATCGCCGCGGAATAATCCGGGGACCTGTTTAAAAGTTTAGTCGATGTTACTGCCGTTTCTATCATAGTCAACTTGCCGAATCGACCAGCAAACGTTAAATTACACCCACCACGTTCCAATTGAGCGAAGCACGCGGACACCGTCGTCGTAGCCGAGGCCATCGTCGGGCAAAGTAAACGTGGGATTAGGAGCTTGAGGTGTCGCAGGTGGACCAGGTCCGGCGAGCCTCGCTTGTGCAGCTTGTTGTGCCATGTGTTGCTGCACAGCGGCGTGAGCCACCGCGTGTGCTTCCACGTAAGCCGATCGCTGCAGTTGCTGCTGGCTACCATTAGACATCTTGTCCTTGTCCGTGCCCTATTAATCGTTTATATGCTCTTACAATGTACCGTCTACCGACGCCAGTTACGCCACGCGAGGATAAATCAACACGGTACGTAAGAGCGCTTTTAGAACTGTGCGGAGCTGACTTTTACATTTCGCTTGGAGGTGTTTTATTTTGCTTGATATTGATGGGAAAAGGATGATATGGTAGGAAAGTACATATTTTATTGTATCAATACAGTGGAATTTATTTATTTATTCGTTTCGATTATAAAATGGGATGGACACTCGTCAGGGGTAAATTAACGTTAACGTTCTTCGAATACCTTTATGAGGGAAATACTACACACGTGCGTTATGTCATAGATGTCTCTGTGTTCGTCTTATACCATCCCCTCATGCAGTAACGTGTTGGGCACGGGACCATTATAGTATTCCACGCGTATAATTTGGAAGAGCGTAGTTCCTGCGGGATATTTTAGTTTAAACTATTCTTGTTCCCCTGCTTGACACAGGTTTGATTTTTAGTTTTCCTGCAGTATTGTTATTTTACGACAGTTCAAAAAGCCACGTTTCTATTTGGTTAAATTGATTTTTCTTTGGGCTCGATTATTAGTTTCAACTTGATATACAATTTTCCTATAATTTTGTAAGTTTCTACAATTGTTTTCAGCAACACGCATTAAAAGATTATCATACTATCAGATTTGTAGAACCGCGATAAACGTTTTCGTTTAAAATAAAGCCACGGATAACTACTACGCAACACTGAACTCGAATTGCTTTGAAATATTGCAATCGCAGTTTATCAGCGTTACTGGGCAATACAAGAGTCATGATACGAGCGATATCACCGGTTTAAGAGAGCTGTGTAAAAATACCAGATTAAGTGTCAATAAACTCGGTGCATACGTGAGTATAGCAAATACGAGGAGAAACGTGTTTCTGGTTAACAAATATGAAATTCCAGCTGAGAATAAAACGAAGGAATTTATTTGAATCGTATAATTATACCGAAGAGTTGATTTTTGGCGCGAAACACAATGCATTACAAAAATGACGCAACAGTCGAATAACGATGGTAATAACATTTATAGAGTACACGACCGCTGGCAATGGTTACGTGACTGTAATATCGAAAGTAGCCTACGCCACAGCACGCAATATTTTGCGACATTTCCACCAATCGATGGAAAACGTAACGGTTTCGAAACCAATATGGGGAAACCATTAATCATGGGAACAGAACCGCGCCGCGTTCGGTGCCAAATATCTGTTAACGATAATCGATAGTTACTAGAAACTGAATTTTGAACAGCTAGACCGCAAGAGGAAACTTACTCGGTTTCTAGCAACTTGATAACAAAGGGCATTTTTTGTTAAAAATAACCGAAACATCGAGAAATTGATAACTAAAGGGTCGAGAAATGGAGCAGAACTTTGAGTACTTGGGCCACAAGAGGAAATTTACTCGTTCCCTTGCAAGCTGATGGTGGCTTTTCGTGGAATATAACCGAAACTCAAGCCAAATCAAGTAAAGTCCCGAGAAATCGAGCAAATACCTTTACAATCAACGTGCTTCGATTTGTCTGCTGATATCAAGCGGCGTGCAAGGAATGCGGCGAAATCGCAAGAACGTTGGATTTGCAAGGATTCGAGAGTAACTACAATTTCGTCCACGTGCTAGGATCGTCCCGAGGCCCGAAAATCTGGAAACCTGAACGAAAGATCTTGAACCAACGCGGAACATCGAGGCCCGTGTCCCCCGAGCGCATAAAAGACGGGGGACTTTCGAAGGAGCCGAAAAGATCTCTTCGACGCAGGCTGCTCCGTCAAGGTTCTCCGGGAAAGAACGATGACCGAAAAGAGCGAGACAGAGGAACGAGCGAAAGGGCAGAAGGGCCGGGAAGAGGAACGGAGAGAGAAAGAACGTACAAAGCCAGACACGATTCGTTCTCACAAAAGACGAGGCAAACGTTATCAAGCGATCCCGGTTGCTCACCTACACTTGCGTCCCAATGGAGAAGCGGAGAAACTCCCCGATCCTGGTGGTTATCACTGACGGCGTAGCACAAATTCAATTTCAACGGCACGTCACTTTGTCCTCGTTCCCATGGTGGTTACCCGTGGACAGGGTGAGAAAAGAATGCAGGTACCACGAGGTCGGAGCGTGGTTAGGTACACACCGAACGCGACACCGGTGCACGAGATCACCGGCGACGAGAAGCGTGCACGGGGTGCGTTCTTTCTTTTCGCGACGCCACGAAAGAATCTCGCGTTTTACGGGGCGACCGTGTGTCCCGTGGAGCTAGCCGCCGATTCCCGGCGCGGGAGGATGTAAGGACAAAGAGACGAAAAAACGGCTGGTGGGAGCAGAGGGGATACGGAGAGACAGACCGGGATAGAGAGAGGCAGGCACAGGGATCGAAGGGGGAACGGAGAGAGGGCAAGCAAGAAAGAGAGGAGCAACGACGCGACGAAAGAAGGAGCCTAACCCTCGGAGAGAGAGAGAGAGAGAGAGAGAGAGAGAGAGAGAGAGAGAGAGAG